CTGACCCCTGAACTAAGGTTATTTATTCTGGAGAAGAAATAATGGGGGGATGGGTGAGAAGGAGACGGGGGAATTTGATAAGTCTGCAAATACCTAAAGGGCAATTATAGAGAGCATTAGAGATGGGCTTTTCTCTGTGGCTGCAAGGGACAGGACTAAGACCAATGACTTCATACAGCTACAGAGGAAATTTATGTTGGGGATTAAGAGGAACTTTCTGACCACGAGGGTGGTCAAGCATTAGAACAGGCTGCCTGGAGAAGCTGCAAAATCTCCATCCCTGGAAATATTTAAGATCAGGTTGGATGGATACTTGCCTGGGATGGTTGAGTCAGGAATGATCCTGCCTTTATTGGGGACTAGATCAGATGCCCTTGTCAGGTGAGGGCCCTTTCAGCCCAACTTCCCTTTGATCCCCCCACACACAGATGCTCCACACAGAGATCAGGGCCATGCTCTCTACTGCCCTGTGCCTTGCAAGAGTCAGTCATACCTGTTCAAAGTCCTTCATTTTGGATTGGGATGCATCACATACCCTTTGTGCCCTGATGACAATGCTACACAGAGAACCTAGTAAACTCTCCTCTTGACATACTCCCACATACTTCCACACTTGCCCTAGCTCAGTCTTGAACTGAAACTCAAGTGTCAAGCCCAGTTCAGAAGGAATCAAAGAAAGCCGAACCAAGTACTTTTCTTGACATTTAAAACATGGCAATTAAGACTAGGATGAATCTAATGCTGTGAGACAACCACCCACTCCCCAGTGGCTCTCTTCCAGAGTGGTTGGATTAGGAAGTTTGCATTACGACCAACAGGCTGCTATTCCAAATGGATTCAATTCAGTTGCCCACATCCCAACAGCACAACTAGGCATGCGTGAAATCAGACCTCACTGAAATCAAAAGCCATGAGGTTTCAGTGGGAGCTAACAACCCACCCTTACTGGCTCTGTCCAAACACTGAATATGGTGGCTACGATTTTGAGGAATACGATCTATAGGTAACGCTAGAAATCCATATTTCAGCACCTGTATGTGTGGGCCCAAAATGTTGAGTACAAGTCACTCCTATTGGGTTTTTTTTTCTTTTCCAATGACTTCAGCAAGAGGGCAGAAGGCAGGGTTGAGATGCATTTTACGGATTACCTAAATACAAGATGCAGAAGCTTTTGTGAACCTGACCTCACTTCATCAGATACTGTGAAAGGATGTGCACAGAGCAGTCTATCAAATAGACAGGGAAGGGAGGGAGGGAGTGGAGAGGGAAACAAGTAATAAACCCATAGGGAGAAAGGGTTCACAAAGCTAATCCAGGTAATTGGATAAGAATCCATAGTCCTTGTTTTGACCATGCTCAACCCAGTCCAGTCTGGGGATAATTTCTACTTCCGCAATTTTGCCTTCAAGTCTGTTTTTAAGGTCTCCTTGTTTAAGAACAGCAGTCAGTGATGGAACGTCCAGGGAGGTTCAAGT